TTTACTTATTCCTAGATCGTTTTTCCAGTGTGTATCCGAAAAAGAAGTCAGAGTTCACAGAGATGATAATCAGTTTGTGCAAAGGTATCAGTCACATACATATGCCTTTGCATATTTTATTTTCCATTCAAGTCTTGTACATATTTTGAAGTTAAACAAACAAACCTATCTCCCCGTGTATTTCATACCAATAACCCAAATGCTGCCAGTGGTCTAGTTTAAAGTCATAATTCTGATTTTCCAGCCTCTATTAACAAATGCATCCAGTTAGAGCAGAAAAAGCACTGAATATCAGGCCCCTGGTGGGGTAGGCCATGACTAGATGATCCAATGGAAATGATTGCCAATACAGGTAATTTGGTTCACTAAAATAACAGTCAGTATCTTACCTTCTCTTATTAAAGTGATGCTAGCCAGCAGGTTTTAAAGAGAAGCGCATATTTTGACCATCAAAAACCAACTTTTGTTTGTGTGAAGGCTATCGTAGCATCTCCGCTAATACAACAAATAAATCTTTATTTTTGGAAATTGCGGTAACCTTCAGATAATACTGCTAAGCAGAACATGTTTTGCACATTTGGTGAAAGAAATTAAATATAAAATTTAAAAAATACTTTATTCTAGTGTTGCACCGATACCAGTATGGGCAGGGCCCTGATCCAGCTCTAAAATAGTATTGGAATCGGCGAGTACCAACAAATATGGCAGCGATACCATTTTGAGAGCCAAAAGTTTATTCAACTATTGCCACCCATTCCAGGTAGACAATAAAAAGTTCTACTGGATTCACTTTGTATTAGTCTTTTTTCTGATTTACAAAGGTAGGCATGATGGCAATTATTTTACATCCAAGTAGTATGCAGTTCTTCATATATACAAACATCGGTATGGTATCGGTATCGGCCAATACTGCACAGCCAGGTATCGGTATCGGCCAATACTGCACAGCCAGGTATCGGTATCGGCCAATACTGCACAGCCAGGTATCGGTATCGGGGCCAAAAAATGGGATCGGTGCAACACTACATCACCAATGTTTTTACTCTTATTTTTTATTTCTGCAAATAACTAAAGATGTTTGTAAGTCTTATGGTCCATACTTACTACAAGTAAGATAAAGACATCAGATAACCAGAAAAGAAAACACACCTAGAAAATCTGAATTGTCCCTTTTGAAAAGATATATTTTCATTTAGATTTTTGTTAACTAAAAATACCGACCGATCAAAGTCTTTGAACCAACTTGAATTAACTAGGAAATGGGGAAATTGTCAAGGATTCGCCAAAACAATGCGCATCGCGATACAGGTCCAACTAGACGATTTTTTTCTTAATACATACAACATAATGCGATTTTTATAATAATATAGCTCTGGAAAATCTCATGACAGCTGCTGAATAATTAGCTATTTTCTTTCACCGCTACTAGAAAAGGCGAAAGCTAACACAGTTCTAATTTGGGGGTTTAAACCGTTAGTTTTAAAAGCATTTAAATATGTCTCTAAAAAATTTACATCCAAGGTTTTGGATTCGTTTAAAGAACACGGACGCCTCTGAGTACAGAACATTTCAGTTCTGTAAACTTTTTTTAGCATGCCACGTTCATTTCCTGCATGTAACTTTGCTTAGCTAGCCTGCAGGTTGCTACATGACAAACATGCTAATAGCAGACGACGTCACCCTAATTTTATCTTTTGTGCTAATGGCAGATGTCACAAAGAAAAGCACGTAGCTTCTACTTTGAATTCACGTTTAATTGGAATCTGTCCATTGTCGTTAGCTAGTAAACGGGTATCTAAAGCTCACTTAAAATCCATTTGTTTAATCTGTGATTTTCAACACCCGTTAGCTTGTCAACCCTTAGTGATCTAAGCGGCCATGACGGTTTTACTTTTGGTTTACGCTGGTGTTTGGACGCTTTAAAGTCGTAGGGAAATCTTATTTGAATGTCAAACCATTCTGGCCTAAACATGTATATAACTGTACTCTTTATCAGACATCAGATATTGTCCCAAAAGTTAGAAAATTTCTATATCTATATGTTTTTAAATCTGTGTTTTTTTCGTTATCTTATGCAGGCCAGTTAGTTATACGTCAGCTTGTACACCTAAATTCAGCAAATCATATATCAACGGTCATTGGTCAATCAAATTTTTTTGGTCATAGCACCTTGATTCATATGTCGCGGCTAATATTTAATAATAATTCGCCAGGCGTAGAGCTACCAGAACTGGCAGGTTGTGAGGCAAGGGTTCAAACATGTACGGCTGTAAGCCTTCTACACCAAACCAAGCTTCCGCTGCCCTGGCGTCCTCTTCCACAACAT